AATATTAAGGTTTAATTTGGATTATAGATTGGAAACATGGGGTACCGGGAATGAATTCAAATGAAGTGAGGCGTTTCGTTGGCAGCGTTGTTGCTTTCATCGGATAAAAGTACTCTAAGTAGAGTGCTACTACTCTACGACTATAATTTCATGGTTTATTCATTGGGATTTGGTGTTACAGCTTTGTTTCTATATCGCATACATTTAAAGGTATTTGACTATTTTTCTTTTACATAATTGAAATCGCGGTCTCACGCAATTCTGACTCTTTTCATGATTTTTCAGGATGCCTGAATGACCAGTTTTTTTGGTCGTTGAGGTACAGCTAGAATCACGCTTATGAGGGCCAACAACCTGAAACACGTATGTAGTAAGCTTTTCTTGATTAATCAAGAATGGGTATTTAGCCTATTCTGGAATAATTAAAAATCAACGAGAATAGTTGATATTTATTCCGATAGATGGCGTAACTTTCAGCAACTTTCAGTTCAACGATAAGGAGATGCCTTTTTTTTTATGATTTATGCCCCTTAGCCCAGTACAATATCACATTTGTACTAATTTTTAAAAATTGAAATAATTTTTTCTACATTTTCAATATTTAGAACAAAAATTAACTAGGTATAATCGATATTACATAAATTAATCTAATAAAAGATTATTTTAAGAAACTGAAGTCATATCATTAATTCTAATAGACATTATTTTTCCATTTAATTATTGCCATAATTTACTTATGAAAAATTTCATCAAAAAAGCATATATTTCAATTAATTATACTTGATCAATCTTTATCAGGGGAGTATTGAACAATCAATCTAATTGATGTGAAGCCTCAATAAACATAAATATCACACTTCCTTATATAACATAGAAATAATGGGTATCGATCAATTCTTGTTTTTCTTGTGCAAACCTTTTATTTCCAAGCTTTCGGACTTTTCAGTCCTTCAATAGGAGTATCACATTATTAATTAATGATAAATACTATTTTATACAAATTATTATTTAAATATTTTAAATACTTCTTATATTGAGAAAGATTCTACAATATTTGTGTGTGCATGTGCGAGAAACGACTTTTTGAAACTATACGTGCAAGGTGGATGATACGTGCTGGTTGAACGATATCTTAAGACTTCAAACTAAATTTAGTAAATTCGTGAACTCTTGTGGTATATATGGAAGACACTCTAAACTATTATAGACGCGTATGATTCTTTTAAAAATAAAACAATTTCTACTGCCCTTACTACAATGGAAAATTTATGGGAGGGCCTGGCTCATCAGTGGTCAACCCTACCAGCGGTTTCGCCAGTTTTATCTACCATACCTCTGTTATATTGCATTTTCGATCTTCCTTTTATACTGATACTGATGCTAGACTCTTGGAATGGGTATTTTAGATGAACTATGGACATAAGCTTTGAGGACAGAAAATTTACATACAATTATAAATATATAATATGCTTCGAGCAATCCTGGCCCTCCCATTAATTTTTCATTGTAGTAAGTGCAGTATAAATTGTTTTATATTTAAAAGAATCATACACGTCTATAATAGTTTAGAATTTTCATAACAGATGGCGCGCTAATGCATCATTATATAGAAGACTGCCTACATCTATGGGATAGTATTTGTCCATATTGTTTCGTATGTTTCTGATATTTCAATGCATCTGTTTATTCTTTCTTGCTGTTTGGCTTGTTATCATATATTCTTATATTTATATAAAAATACTTGGAAATATAAAGAATGGTGTGTGTTCTTATTCCGAGACGACTTCTTGTCTTTTTTTGAATACCTCTTGTAGACCTCTTTTACATTTCTATACTGTATTTGTCTACATATTGTTATATCCTATACATAGATGTGAATAGAGATGTTACATTTATAATGTCATATTGTCGTAGTTGGAATCCCGCATCGGTTAACGCATCTGGTTATACGAATTAGAAGATTCCAGGTTCGTATCCTGGCAGATCGTTTTTTACGGTCGTTGGACTATCTTCCATTTTATTTCAATTTAAAGCGCTATGTCCCCCTGGGACACTTGCGCTGTCATACATGTATGCCTTTACATTTGTCTATATATATATATAAAATAATTTTAGTCCGTGAATAGAATAGTCATATGATGTTAACAATGAGAAAGAGGGAAAAAAAAACGAGAAAAGATCTGTGTACAGAATAAAGAAGTGTCTGGTAATATGTACAATAAACATAATATAAATTATCAGTTTCTTAAAAGGTATTTGTTGCTATATAATTTAAAATATATCTACAAAAGGTATTGAATTTAATATACATTTCTTTACTAGAAATGAAAATACTTGGATCTGTTACTATTAAATTATTTTCGATTCTGTAGTCTTGAAGTCTAGGACAATCTAGTAAAAGATGTATTGAGGTTCGTTCCTCATATACACAAAAACAACTCTAGTCTTCCACCGCTTTAATTCTTTTTGAAAAGCTTCTGAAATTTCCATAATTAGAAATGAATTGAGAATTATGAAAGTTTGGCCGGAAATATTTTGGTATGCTGTTAGAGAAGAAACTTTGAAAAGTTTCATTTGTGTTGTTCTTTAAAGTAGCTATTCAAAATCCAATAAAATCTGTTTATATGCTTGGGATATCTTATATGATACAGTTTATCGACACTCAGTGTTTTTGACGGTTATACAGTAGAACCTCCATGAGAGGACACTCGCGCTAGAGGGCATCTCTCTACAAAGGACAGTTTTCATTTGCAAAATTACCATTTTTACAATTTAGCAACTCTCCGGTAAGAGAACACCTCTTCTTAAATGTCACTTTAGCTCTGCAATTAGGTGTGCTTTATAGGAGGTTCTACTGTACATGGTAAGTCCATGTACCGTGCTAATATCAATGCGGATTTGTGATGGTTATATTTTAATATTATTCAAACTATATTTTTCATTAAAATGTTTGTGTGTGTAAATTGGATGTATACCCGCTTGATTATGTATTTAGTACCATTTGAGAATATAAGTTGTCATACCCAGCGGTCCACTAGTCCATTTAAAAACCATCATTAAAAGAGACCAAGGGCATTCTTCCTAGAAGTAAATATCACTGCGATCTTTCAGATCGTTATCTTTATGAAGGGGTAAACCGAATACTGATACCTTGACCTATGACCATCTAACCTTTATATATTTCTTAACCTAACAAACACAATCTGTCCATCTGGTAACAAGAGCCGTGGTCTGTGAAATCAAAACTAACAATTGTTTTAAAATCTTCTGCACAAGTAATCCAATTATCAGCTGCTCGTTAAACAGGGATTAGAGTCGGCCTGCCCCCTGGCGGATGGTCACTGGTACCACAGAGTATTTTTACTTTAAATGTTTTGTTTTTCTCAATTTCTATTTTATAGCTCACATTTGAACTTTAAGGGCAACAGTAAATACTCGAATATAAAAAATATTCTTATATAAATCGCGGACTTTTAACTAAGATCTAGGTTCTAAAAGAAATTTGAAAAACTAAAGAAAAAGTTGAAAATTTAACAGCGAGAGCAAATATAATTCTCTAGTGCTTATGTTCTTGAAAAAATAGTTAACCACAGACGCAAGGTCGAATAGGAATAATATCATTAATTTTAATTCTCTAAATTTATAAAAATAATGAGACAAAGAAATTATATATAGAAAACGCTAATTTTTCGTGATTCCATTTGTCTGTTTGTTTTTATTTTTATGATTGTAGTGCAGTTATTGTGTGATTATCCTGAAGAAACCATGATAATCATTGTGGGTAGAAGTTGTCGACTGCTTTTTTTGTAAGTGCACCACATGTCTATACATGTGAAAAGCAGTTCGGCTTTGAACTTACAAATATGCCACTGCCCCGTTTGGGTACTTGCACTCGCTGGTGGGGTTTTTCCTTGTGGATATACAAAGTGATTTCATATGTTGTTATAAAGAAAAGCTGCATATATGCACATCAATAATGGCATTCAATAGAAAATCATATACGATATTTTCTAAATCATCTTCTTCATTTAAACTTTGAAGTCATTTTTGGGAATATCAAGCAGATGTGAACCATCCAGTTCATTAAATCGTCTAAGATCTTGGTGAGATAAGTGTATGGTTTGGCTGTCTGCTTATCCGATGTCGTTTTCGCTCCTGTTCAGAAGGAGGCCATTAACCTACACCCTGGTGTACTGGTTGTAGTTTATTGTCCTCGTGGTAGATTTCTCTTCAGGAGCCCGAGCTGCAGCTCCTGATGCGGCGGGTACCCCAGACACGGTATTATTGCTGGATATAACGGTTTTGCTCTTCATTCGAAAAAGGGTGCCGTTGCCACGTTAGTCACCTTGGACCAGAATATGGTCGAATATTCCAAGGGTCCAGGGAGGTGTGGTCGGATTCCCCTCCCCCCAGATAGAGGACATTGAGGCTTCTGCGATAGAGATTCTTGGAGACATCTGAAGCTCTTCATTGGACGCAACAACAAGTGTTTGGAGTTTTCTGGATATGTTAAAAGCGGTTGTTTTTAGAAATTCACTCTTCCGAATTAAAGTGAATCAAGACGGAATGATAAAAACAACGTTTTTTATAAAAGTGATTTTTTTCAAATTATTGTATGTGAATCAGTATATCTTAATAATTTCTTGATAAGAGTATACATTGGCCGGGATTGATTCGAGTGATTTGATATACAACTACTTGTATATATTCGCACTTAAAGTATTTGGAAATCACACCTAAAATAGATCTTCACACAGACAACCAATTACCTTAAAGAGTTCTTAAAATTGAAGATACTTCGGCCAGTTTGACGCTTTGCCGGATGTTTTAAATTTTGTTAGCTCCTTTGAGATGATAAAAAGATCTATTGGCCGAAGTTTCTTTAATTTTAAGAACTATGAATGCCGGCCAGGCAACCTCTATCTTTACGTTATCTTATAGAGAGTATGGTTTTACGGGTTAATAACCAAAGTGTATGATTTTAGAGCCCCAAAAAGAAGTGGAGATGCTGGGTATCTATCCCAGTACCTCTCGCATGCTAAGCGAGCGTTCTACCATCTGAGCTATATCCCCTCTAATTACCTTAAAGGACCATCAACACCAATTGAATCTAGATGGTAGATCTCCCTTTCTCTGTTCCAGGGTTGGGAAAACTTTCGAGTAGGAAGAATCAAAAATTACAATTTATAAAATTTAAAAGTTTCTAAAGAGCCATAATTTTTTCTTGCCAACAATAAATAGTACTCGCATTAATAATATTTACGTATGTGGAACTATATAAAGAGCCGCAGCTTCACATCCAAAGAGTCGCATGTGGCTCGCGAGCCGCAGTTTACCGACCCCTGTACTAGTCCAAGAACATTTTAGAAATCCAAGATCCCGTACTAGATCACAGTCTCTGGCTCCTGTCTTGCCAGCTTCGGTCTTGCCAAGTCTAAAATTTCTACATTAATACAAATGAAAACACCAAAACGCGAATGTTTCTTATCCCAAATAAATCAAACTTCTACTGTCCTAACTGCGATGAAAAATATGGGAGGGCTTGGCTCATCAGTGGTGAACCCTCCCAGCGGTTTCGCCAATTTAATCTACCAGACCGTTTCTTTAGAGCTCTAATACTTTATTGGATCATTCTGATATTATATGCTACATAGAAGGGTGATATCTTAGAAATGATATTTAAGCAAACTATGGACACTAGCTTTTAGGACAGTAGAATTACATATATATAGTAAGGACAGTAGAAGTTTGATTTATTTGGGATAAGAAACATTCGCGTTTTGGTGTTTTCATTTGTATTATATAGATGGCGCGTTATTGTAATTTCTATATTAGGTTATCACGAACGCTGTCCCCCACCTGTTTGGCTGACAGAATCGATAAAATGGCGGGGTTACATAGCTCATCAAATTCCAGTAAACAAATTACGACCATTTACACCTCTTCCACAACAATAAATTCAATAAATGCTCCCAGCTAATTATACGGACTAGTTAATTAAGGCTATGGAATAATTCATCCAGTTAATTGAGCGTACAAATCCTGTCCTATTTAGTCCCGTGCTGATGACATTGGGTCCCCTGTGTTCCATGCACTCTCTAATCCTGATCATTCTCTACGGACCCTATGCTTTCTTCTCACCACAATTCCTATAGAATATTCCACAGATTGCACTACGCTGATGAGGGCCAACACTCCGAAACGTGTCCGTGGTTTGCTTTTCTTGATTAATCAAGAATGGGTATTTGGCCAATTCTTGAATAATTAAAAATCAACGAGAATAGTTGATATTTATTCCGATATATAGAATATTCCAATTATATTGTCATGTGGGAGGACAAGCTTCTGGATAACACGGCAATTTATTCAAGGAAAGAACAAACTATAATTGATAAACAAAAGCAACGAGGGAGTTTACAGATTAGCAAAATATAAATATGATATTCTTAATAAAATAATAAAAACTTCTTACAATATATAAGTTTATGTGTACCGTAGATGACACCTCTTACTTCGAAAATGCGCTTAAACAATACATTTTACTAATCACCCAAACACAAAACGTGATGAATGAGCTATACCACCAATTTTATCAAATTGAAACAAAAAGCCAAACTATATATCATGGTTTCGTTCTTTGGGTTTCATCCGCCATATGGAATCTTAGATTTCAGAACATCCTATGAAGGAGTTAGGATATAGGTCCAATTGGCCAAAAAGTTGTTCAACATGGTGAAGTAGCAAGGCCGATAATACAAAAAAGTTATAAATTATAAAGATACTTCTGCAACTTTAGGTTGTATTATAGGCTGAATATTGGCCCCTGCCACTTCACACAGCTTGAACAACCTTTTGGCCAATTGGACCTATTTTATAACTTCCCCCGTAGGATGTAATGAAATCGAAGGTTCCTCTTCACTGATGAGGATCAAAGACATGGTATACAGATTGTTTTCTGTCTGAAATTCCCAATGTTGTTGTGACACCTATTTATAATACAATATAATGCGACATATGATTGTAGAACAACGTTTGACAATTTTACCATGATGTTTCTTTTGAACGAAAAATCGTAATTTATTTTAAAGAGAAATAACGACTATTTCTATCCTTAGGGATGAAGTATGAAAGGATGAATTGTGAAGAGTAATGATGAATTGTGAAGAGTAATGATAAACGGAAAAATGAGTGTCCAGGGATGTTCCGTTTATCATTACTCTTCACAATTCATCCGTTCATACTTCATCCCTAAGGATAGAAATAGTCGTTATTTATCTTTAAAATAAATTACAATTTTTCGTTCAAAAGAAACATCATGGTAAAAATGTCAAACGTCGTTCTACACCTATTTATCACAACCATTAAGTTTTATAATGTTTGTACTGTTTCAAAAGTCTCTTCCTAACTTTATGTAAGCAGCACTATGTGTCCCTTAGATGTTTTTTTCTGGATAGTGGTGACAAGGAAGATTTTTTGAGTGAGGCCTCCTCGGTGAATACGAGAGTGAGTTACACAAATGTAGAAATTACCACTTGAGACCTCCTCGGTGGACGCGAAGGTCGAACTTGCCGACTCGGTGGTGTAAGTTGGTGACAGGACACTTGGAAGCGAACGTTGAACTTGTACGGATATTGAGAGGGGGACGAAATCTCAGCCGTTATCATAATAATTAGTATATTTCGAGATCCAGTTGAATGTGGAAAGTTTTTCTTTATATTCAATTATAATAAAATATATAAATAGTTTTTTTGCATCAATTTTAATGCGCCCTACATTTATTAAAAATATTCTATGATATATAATATTTATTTAAAACAGATTATTTACATTAGCATCATTCCTTTTTATAATTTCATTCCTTTTGTAATATTGTTATTGTACATATATCTTGATTGGTTATTGGAGCGAGAGAGGACCTAGACCAAGACTGCGGATCACGATCTACGAGGAAGAATAAATAAAAACAAAAACCATAAAAGGTAATTTACTTTATTTACTTTTCTTTATTTGATTTAAGTATGGAAACCCGCTCAGAAAACGTGTATAACACCAAGAAGGAGGAAACCAAGGTCGATGACCCTGCAAAGCTGCAGCTTGGTGCAACAAAATGGAGGTTGTTGTTGTTGTCGTGTCCAATGAAGAACCTCAGACACTTCAGTACATCTCTATTACAGTAGTTGCAATCATTAGAAAATGGGTGCCGTTGCCACGTAAGTCACCTTGGACCAGAATTTGGTCAAATATTCCAAGGGTCTAGGGGTGTGGTCGGACTTCACTCCCCCCAAATACTATTTGAATTTCAACATTATATTTTTATTGTATTTCAAAGGTAAAAATTGTTTTTTCCTTTTAGTTATAAGGCAACTTTATGGTTTTATACTGTGACTACACTTATCGTATAGAAGTTGTATAAAGTGAGTCTTAGTTTGATATCGACTGAGTGTTTTTACAATCTATTCTTCTTTTATTTTAACCTTTTCATATTTTAGCGTAGAAATCGAGTCTTTGAATAACTTAAGATGTCAAAGTATTTATTGATGACGTCAGTACGACTAATCGACATTTATCAACAAAACCAAAGATACTATATACAACTAGAGAATATTGAACACGCAATCTAAGGACCATGTATGATGATTTCACAAATACATAGTAATAATCTGTGTTAAATGTTTTCATTGAATAATTAAATTAAATAATAAAATACAAATTATTTCTTCGCCACAATATTGAAGACATATTTGAAGTGTCCCGATTAAAATTTATGAAGATTCTGAAAATAATAATTAAATCATTAAGGTTAATTTATCAGCAATGTTTTCACTGCTGCTATACACCGCAAGTTTAAAAAACTACTGCAATGTCCAACATCATCGAAGCAGAACTATTGTTTCACCAGTTCAATCTACCAGACCAGTAGTTACTGCATTACTCGATATTTGATGGACTATAGGAGCAGAATTGACATGTTACAGTAGTTGTAGAGCTGTCTGGTAGATGTTTCATCTCCATTTTTCCAGGAATTTGTCTTTCTAAAATGAAATTAAGCGTTGCCTAAACTGATTCTACTAATGACATAAGTAAATTTATTTAAAATAAAAGACTTCGGCCAGAAAATGTTTTTATTTTCTCAACATTTCGACAAAAATATTTTGTCTTCGTCAGGAAAAATAAAAATTAAAGCATTTGGAAAGGCGTTAGTTTTTATTTTCCCGACGAAAACAAACGATTTTTGTCGAAACGTTGAGAAAAAAAAGAGCAAAAGCAAGAGGGCCAACATCCTTAGCGCTTACGTGATTCGATTTTCTTGATTAATCAAGAATGAGTATTTGGAAAATTCTGGAATAATAAAAATCAACGAATAGTTGATATTTATTCCGATAGATGGAGCAAGCTATCAGAAACTTTCAGTTTCACGATAAGGAGATGCCCTTTTTTTAAATAAAGAATAATTTTATATACCTGCCTCAAATGAGTTCAACCTTGTTTAGATAAAATAAAAATAAAAACATAAACAAATATTCAATAGGAATTTATTTTAGATCAAAAATTGATAGCTCTTTTCAACATTCATCAAGGTAAAATAACCTTATTTTGTACCCCATTAAAAGATTTTTAACGATTCCATGTATATATTGGATGTTGGCCCTCTTACCTTTTATGATTAATCAAGAATGGGTATTTGGCCAATTTTAATAATTAAAAATCAATTAATAGTTTATATTTATTCCAATAGATAGCGCAAGCCATCAGCAACTTTCTGTAGCACGATATGGAGATGCCTTTTTTTTCTTAATTTATGCACCTCATCCCAGTACAATATCACATTTGTACTCTTTTCACATTATTCTTTATTATAATACAATATAATGCGGCCTATGATTGTAGAACGACATTTGAAAATTATCCCGCACGTGTTTCTTTTGAACGAAAAATCTAAATTTATTTTAAGGAGAAATAACGATTATTTCTAACCTTAGGGATGAAGTATGAAAGGATGAATTGTGAAGAGTGATGATGAACGGAAAATTAAAGTGTCCAGGGATAGGAATTATTCTTTATTATTAATACCT